ATTGACAGCCTAGAAAACACTATAAACTTGTTTTATCTAAAATTTCATTTGAAAATTTATTAGCAAATTCTAGACTTATTTGAATTGGAGTAATAGTTCCTAGATAAATGTTATGTCCTAAAAATCTAATTTTTGTTTGATATAAAATAATTTTCTTAGCAGAAACTGCTAAGCTATTTTTCTTGACTATATGAATGAATGCATTTAAATGTTTGAAATGATATTTTATACTTTCAGAAAATATAAGAACATTATCAATGTAAACAATAATAAAATTTGAAAGTGATTGAAAATATCATTCATAATTTTTTGAAATTCAGAAGAATCATTTTTAAGACCGAATGACATAACGTTCCATTCATATTGACCAAAAGGAATATTTAAAGCAATTTTGTATCTATCTATCTTCTTTAATTTGAATTTGTCAGAAACCTGATTTTATATCAAATTTTGAGAAGATGACAGTTTTGAATAACCTATTTAATAGGTCTTTCTTTTGAGGTAATGGATATCGAATCCATTGAAGAGCTTTATTGAGAGGTTTGTATTTGATAACTAACGAGGAACATCTCTCTCAATTTCAATAGAATTATTGACATAGAAAGCAAAGCAACTCTAAGGAGATTTACTCGGCCTAATGAGACCTTTATCAAGCAAATCTGTGATCTCCTTGATACAATGATCTGAGAGTTCTTTGTTCATTTGAATATGACGGAATTTTGTAAGAATGTTTGATTAATGAAAATCAAAATTGCAAAGAACATAAACCACATGTTTCTTCTTATCACAGAGAGCATTTGGAATGGTAGAATATATTTCTTTTTCAATTTGTTTTTGAAAATCTAAAATTTTCTTTTGAATTAAAGAATTTTTTAATTGTTCTTCAATTCTTTGAAATTTGATTTCTTCTTTAAGAAATCTAATATGATTTTTCTTAAAATTAATATTATTAATAATTTGTGAAATAGATGTTTCTTTTAAGAAATTTACATCGTTATAAAAAGGAAGGCTTGTAAATTTAAAACAAATTTCTTGACCAAAAATATTTATAGTCAAGCCTTTTGAATTAGCTTAAAAAAATAAATTTGAACAATAAAAGGAGTACCAAGAATTACTTCTTAATCTAAATCTTTTACAAGATAAAATATATTTTTTAAACAAATATTTGAATTGCAAACATGAGTTTTTTGTGATTTTTTTTAAGTTTATATTGAATATTAAGCTTTTTACCACTGGCACCATAAAAACGTTTAGTGATTTTTTTTCAAAATATGTTGTAGGGATAAATCCTTCTCTAATACAATTTTGATCAACTCCAGAATCAATAAGGACTCTAGAAGTATATTTGAATTTTTTATTGACTACAATAGTAATATTGCAGTACCATTTTTTGAAGTTAAATACAATTAATAACATTAATCATATCTTCTTCAAATTGAGGATTAGAAGTAGTAAAAGAAGGAATAAATTCTTTATTAGAAGAACTAGAAAATGATGAAGAAGAAATTTTTGACTTTTGCTTTAAATCTTGAGTTTTGAGAAGAGCAACTTCCATTCGAACATCTTCCATCTGATGTTCAAGAATAGAAATTTGAGATTTCATAATATTGATTACTGATTTTAAATCAGAATTATAAAATTTTGAAGTTTCAAAATGATTTAAACATTTTGAATATTGAAAGGTTTAAAAGTAGGTTTCGAACTTGAAGTTAAAAGAGAATTAAACTTATTTTTGAGCAGTGAATCTTCAATTTAATCAACAATCTCTTTAATATGTTCTTCTTATTTAGTAAGAACATTTATAGTTTTACAATAACAAAGTTCTTTGCTTTGATTAGAAGAAGAAAAGTTTAAACTAGATTCCGCATTAGAATCTTCTTGATGTTAATAAACATTCTCTAAATTAGAAATATTTTCATCTTTAGAACTGAAACTGGATTTGATAAGATTGAGAAGATTAAGCTTAATATCTTCATCAATTTGGAGATTATTAATCTTGCATTCGAGATGACACTTATTCGAATAATGTCCTGGCTTTCTGCATTTCCAACAAGTAATATTATTCTTTTTTTAAATTTCTTTTTAGAATAATTTTTTGAATAAGAAGATTTTTGAAAATTCTTTTCTTTAGAATAAAATTTTCTTTTTTAAAAATTTTTTTTATTTTGGTTTTCGAATGAGGAATAATTTTCTAAAATCCATATTATTCACAGAAAGAATCAAGTTCTTTACAACTATCAAGTATTTTTTGTTGCAATTTGGCTTTGAGTGTTATCTCATTATAGAAAGCTAATCCTTCACGATTAATTCTTCATAAGTAAGAGTATCATGAGGAATATTATTTTCATATTTTTTTTTATTGAAATTTTGACTCTTTTAGAAAATTATTTTGGAAGTCCAGAAATAAATCTTTTTTTTTTTTCAATAAGCTTGATTATAATCTTTTCTTAAAAAGACACGTATTAAAAACATATCATAAACCAACGAAAAATCTTGTAAATGTGAACAATTTAAAGTCATTTAGAGATGACAGTGGGGCGGGTTCGAGATGGGGTGCCTCTACCCCTTCCTGCCCGTCCCGTCTCACCAACCCCCCACCTTGCTTTAGACGAGGCGGGGATGGGACGGGGCAACTTTTTATCCCGTTTAATTTTTAATTTATTATTATTATTATTTTTTACATTTTCAAAATTTCGATTTATGTTATTATTAGAGAATAAAATACAAATTCAAAATGAGTTTTCAGGTCTGTAATATAAAGAAATCCCAATGATAATTTTGGACAAAAAGGTGCATCAACTCAGTAATAGAGAAGTTCCACTGGTCAAAGTGGCGTAATCATGGACTGGACAAGTCAACATGGTGAGAAGGAAAATGAGCTTAAAATCAAGTATCCAGAACTCTTCGATTAGTTAATATAATTTTCGAGGATGAAAATATTTAAGGTGGAAGATTGTGACGCCCAAAAAGAAAAAAAAAGAATAAAAATGTATTTGTTTTGTATGTTATATTTTTATATTTTGAAAAATTCGAGGGCTAAAATGAAGTAGGTTTTAAATTCATATTTCTATTTGAGTCAAATAATCAAATTTTGAAAGAGCAAGTATAAATATATCAATATCAAGCTCGTTAGATAGCTCTTAATTAATAATGCATATTAGGCTCGAGAAATAATTATTTCGCATAAGTTATGCTCATTTTGTTAACGTTGAAAAAATATTACCTAAATTTATAACTAATTAAGCCCTTGTTGTCAACCATTCTTTTACATTTTACCACATTATTTTTTCTACAGTACTCATTTTCGATCATACATTCTCCATTAAAATAATATTACACATATATCAAAAAAAATTCTTTCTTTTTTAATCATATATTTCAACATCAATCACTATTTCATTCTCCAATTTTTGAAATTAAAGGACCACATACAAGGCCTAAGTTAATATTGATTCTTTCAAGCAATCCACATGTGCACTAGTTTGACTGAAGAAATATTTTTAAATGATAATGATTTGATGTTGATGGAGAGATAAGTAGCTTTATTTTTATAATATTTAATTGCTTTGATTTGAAAATTGATAAGAGTTGTCAATTAGTTTTATTTTAATATTATTTTCTTGTTTTGGTTTTGGGAGTCTGCTGTGCTATTTGCACAGCACTGTGCACAGGGTGTGAGACATGGGGGTGGACCCCACATGTTGTGGACCCTGTGCACAGGGTGCTGTGTAAGGAGAGTTTTCCTTTGGGAGTATATCGGAGTGGTTTGGCACGTGTAGATTGGATAAGAAAAGAAATGATTTCTTTTTTTTTCTTGGATTTCGGGATGGATCCTTTTGTAGGGAAAATCACAGCATCATGCATATTTTTGGCCTATTAAAAATTTAATTTCCCTTTCAACGTTAAATACAATACAAAAATAATCATTATCTATCCTAAAAAGGGAAAAGAAAAGAGAAAAACATAGATACGCATTACTGTGGGAGCAAGTTGAAATTAAAGATTTGGGAATGTGAATGTCTTGCTTCTTTTCCAACAATCCCTATTATCAATCAAGGTAGGATTTCGAGGTGCAAGTGATTTATCCCGCTTAAATTATTTCTTCATGTTCATAAATATTATGATTATGATATGATATGAAATGGTCATTTAGTACCAACGATGTGATATAACATGAGCTCTTATCGTATCTAAAGATATGATATGACAATATAATATTTTTACGCATGATTTAATGTTTTTATTCATGATTGGACCATTATTTTCGCATCCAACTGAGTATTTCCATATATTCACAATTTTTCTTACTCCTCACAAGTTGGAACGACTCGTTGGTTGGCGAGCGATGCAGTATTATCGTGGTGCCAAAACTTATGGAACACAATAAAAATAATCCGGTGTAATAAGATTTTTTTTATTTTTTATTTTTTATTTTTAACAATTTCTTAGTTTTAACTCATAAGAATTTTTAATTAAAAATTTTAAACATGTCTAATTGGATTACAAGTATAAAACTGCATTATGTTTTATCGATGGAATTTTTTTTTTGTTAATGTATTTAGAATACATCCTTTTTGGTAATTATAAAATTTGGGTCGTTACAATGTAACTGTTTAAGTAGTTGATTTACATGACTTAATTGGAACTAATATCAAAATTCTGGATAGTAGCAAGAAAATAGAGAAAAACTTGGAAACTCGTGGATAAAGGACAGTAATTTTGAACTTTCAAGGAAAATCAATGATAACATTTTTTTATTCGAGCATTCTTAATTGGTTGGATGCAAATAACCTGACAATTAGAAACAAAGGATTATCCCAGTTCCCCATTTATTATCAAATCTCGCCAAAATCATATACAGGAAGCCCAATAGTCCCTTTCATATTCCACTTTATAAGCTACTTATAAGCTCGCCCATACATGCACAAAGAGCTGTGGGATTTGAAGTTCACCAATAGCATACAGGGCTACTGCCCATATTAAACCAAAGGGTAAAAATGAAAAGCAAAAATCTGCTCGAATTCATTTATAGTTAAATATATAAACAAAAATAATGTACCTCTGCCTGTTGAATTTATCAGAAACTGGCTCCCTTTGTTATCCACCCACAAAGTAGAGAATGACAGAAAAGAAATCATACATTACCAAAAGCACCTACTTTTTCTGTACAGTTTTATGCAATACCGAATCTCTTGTATACAAGCTCACAGTACAGAACTTAATACATGGTAAATTTTCTAACAACAGGGAATGCATCGTCCCAACAGGTTTCATACATCGATATCACCTTTTCACAGCCTTTCCTTGGCACTTGTCTCCTGTCTAATTCAATTATCATCTGCATAGACACAAGCTAAACTCGGACGGTGAATAAATAGCAAAATTGTGTTAAAATTATTTGGACAAGTTCGAAAGAGAATGAAGCATCCTACAAAACAGAACATGATGAGGTGCACAAAGTTTGGAGGCTGGGCTTGAAATCTGCTGACAAAAAGATAATGCCAAATTTCTGTCTGCATAGGCAAACTATATTAAGTAGAATCAGCCAAAAATGGTGGATTGTACGTTATTCCTGCAAAATTCCAGAAAAATAATCAGTAGATATCCAATTTCATCATCTCAAATTTGTTCCACAACCAGACACTTGGTTGAAGCAAGACAACAAAACACTAAAACTTGTAGTAAATAAGCATTAATAAAATTCAACAAGTCCTCAGAAAGTGAGGTAAACCTCTATCAGCTTACATTATTACCCTTTTTGTGCTTCCAGGTGTTGAATCATGCACGATTATATATATTGCAATTTCCGAAAGTCCAAGTCGACCAATTCTCACTTAGGGATGGCAAATTACCCCAATCCCGTCTGACCTGAATGTTATGTTTTTTAAATCTAAAACACATTTAAACAATAAAAAATTAACATTAAAATAAGCTCATTGGGTGGTAAATGGGGATACCATTCCATTACAGCGTAAGGTACATTGTCTACTGCTAGGCTGATTGTCTATTCATTCTTACCAAATTTAAGGATAAAACAGGTGTTTTTCTAAAGGTTGGCCTTTTATGAATCCCAATCAAACATTTCCGAAAATTTCCATGTACCCCATATCAACTGACACCACCAGGTAAGTGCCTTCCAGGACTGTGGACACCCATGTCATAAAGAGGCCAAAAGTGTAATACATTGATGCAAGAAAATGTACATGGGTGTATATTTCAGGCAAATGATAGCGTGTGAGTTAGTTAACTTTTGTCCCCTTCATTTTCTGATCCACTGGCTGATCAGTTTAGATGCAGATATTACATCACAATAAGTCATCCTTCTCACCTTTAACCGGTCTAGAGTACTTGATAACTGCTCATTAAAAATACGCAGTTTACTACTTTGATGTCACTCCTTTCATTTTGATCAGCCAATTCACCCAAGATAAAATTGATTACTACACTTTCCAATATCACGACCAAAAAATGATTTTATTTCAAAAGGGAGCAGATCCTGTTCAAAAAGTTTGCCTCTATAAATATAATAGTAAAGACGGTGTAAAATGGAACTCGTGATAAATTGTTTATCAAGAATAAATTACTTACGAAAGATGCAACAAAAAAGCAACTGAGAAATTTGAATATGCACTATGTCTTGGGCCTAACTAAAAATTCCAAGCCCCTCAGTTGATATCTAACCACACGGTTTCTCTTATTAATTTGAGAAACTTCATACAGAGGATGCTAATTTGCCAAACCTTCTTAGTTAATGTAATAAATTATACAACTAACTTCAGTCCCTCATCTCAATCTCAATACCATTTAATTCAAGAAGAAAATGTAATATTCAAGCCCATAGTACAATATTCAAATATCCCAATCTATGGCATCTAGTACGTAAATTTTGCTACATAATTCACAAAATTGGAAGGGCAGCAATTGGAATGCAAACTACAAATATTATATATGCACTTATTTACGTCATACTATTCCATAATTTAAGAAATTCAAAAATGGGACAATACTCTTCTACAAGTAACGAGGGATTTATTGCACATTGTATAAATAAATGCCAACCTGCAGCATAATATAAGTCTTTTCTGAAGTAAAATGAAAATATATAACAAATACAAAGATGTATGATTCAATCTCTTTTTTTTTTCTAAAATAAAAAGCAAGATTCTAATTTTTTTGGAATTTTTTCTGCAATTATTCTAAATCATATAGAGAACTATTTATATAAGTTTCAAGTGCATCCTTACTACTGAGACATTAAATTAATAGTTAATGAGAATGAAATACTATCAATTTGAATCAATAAATATATTATTTGACATGTTCAATACAATGTTTCTACTTTATTGTGTTATTATGTTCAGATAGGAGATAGAATTGCAAGCATAGGTGTTTAAGAATGTAAGCTTATAGCATTCCATCTTAATTATACAGTCAAATTGTTTATTGGGTACCTATTCTAAAAAATGAAACCTAAAACTGTTTTCCTGCTCATTTTATTCGAAAATGCATTCTTTTACTTAACTTACTCACTAATAATCTAAAGAATTTTTTTAAAAGTTTCAAAATAAACTAGAAATACCTCAGGTAAACCCCTACACTAAGTCATCAAAAGTACTATATCTGACGCCATGTTTGGAATTGGGACAAAAGAGACTTCTCATTTAACTTCTCTAAGGTTGGCCATTTACCAGAGAAATTACTTGATTTAATACCTTATCTTTAATCAAGCTGGGACCAACTGTAGACTACAATTATTTTCATCGTTGGCAACATCTTCATATTCAGAGTATTATATTAACAAAATTTATCAGATTCAGGATGTTCAGCCATAAGCATATGCACATCATGTCAAGGTTTCCCTCCACTGAGTCCCTGTTTGTTTACATTACTCAATGAAAATGAGTTTCAGAAAGTGATTTTTTCAAGAATGTGCATTTAAAAAGTAGGAAAAAGTTTTGGATTTACGTGCAAAATATTTTATTGTGAGAATGTGTGATTGAAAATGAATTTGAGAAAAAAAATGTATTTTGAAATAAGGGTAGACAAACAAGGACTAGATCTCCAATTATTCCAATTTTCTAGTATTTTCTTATTTATTTATTTAGCCCCTGTTTGTTTCCCATTTTTAAGTAAGAATGCATTTTGAAATAGTTAATTGGTGAAGAATGTGTGGTTAAGAATTAAGAAAAAGTTTTAGTTTTGTGTGTAATATTATTTTATTGAAGAATATATGGTTGAAAAGAAGTGAGAGAAAAATGGGTATCAAACCGGGCTTAATGGGATTCCAACTTCTTGATTGATCAACTACAAAGGGATTATTCTGCTCCAAGGATTTGCCATCATGGCTGACTGGTGGGAGGCAGTTATAGTTTTCTACAGGTTCTTTAGCGCTGCTGACATTGGACCAGTCAATTATGTCTCCCTCCATAGCTCTAATATTTCATTATCTCAAATTTGTTTTATCAAAAAATGAGAACCAACTTTGTTGAAGGAAAAGGCACAAACCACGGTGTTCTAGTGCCCAGTACAGGAATTTTCTTCTCCAATCTTGAACACAGTCATTTTTATTACAATGAACCACAATAAATTGAGTGGAAAAAAGGGAACTAGATCTAATATTAGAGTTTCAGACAATGACGGCAACACTTCACTGAATATTTATCATGCACTGAATAGAAATTTAAGTATCATGTTGTTCTAGCATGCTATAGCCTGTTCTGGAAAGCAAGGTTCTTTCAAATATTATGGTGACGTGCTTTTATGATAACTGCATTGAAGAATATATAATGGGCAGATAGATTTTCCCCATCAATCCAAGGACAGATTGGTATAAACAGAATTAAGTAAACGTATTAGCCTGTGAAATAAATTTTCTTCTATGCATATAAGGAATTAAATAACGTAAAGAAAATGTAATATGGATAAGAGAAAAGGCAATTAGAAACTTTTGATAGACCTTGACAGGCATTCGCATGACCATTAAACTTTAGGTCCAGTCAAGAGGGTACATAAGCATAAGAAAATAGAGGAGTCTAGTAGGCTCCCACGGAAGTATCAAAAATAACACGAAAGGGAACTACATGTCCAACGAATCATGAGGGCACACATAAATTCTTGGTTGATCAGCAATTATGGTAGAGATACCAAGTGACAGAGATGATATTTCATTGAAGACATGCAAATTATAAGCACTTGTTTTACACTTAAAAAGAAAGTAGATTCTGGTTCTTATAGCAATTTAATAGCAAATAGGAGTAGTATTTCTGAATAATGTAGAAAATTGTTCTAGTATTCAATTGATACCTACAAATAGATAACATAACAGTTAACAGAATACTAGTTAAACAGGCATCCGCACATCAACCAAAACAAATTCACATTAAAAGGTAAAAGTGATATGCAAATCTATAATTCAACAACAAAAGGTACTCATCATTAACATATGGAATTTACCTTAGCATATATCATGTCCCAGAAAGCTGCCCAGCACAACAATTGAAATCGTACCAACACATCAAAAAACTTTAGTTGCAGATAGAAAGCTTCCCCGTCCATTCATCAGCCATCCCATAATCAAGACTAAGCTCCCTCATTGGGGGGATATTCTCCATAGCGAACAGCATGAGGTGAGGGAAAGATATATTTTTGTGATCAAACAGCACAAGCTGTACCATAACATTTGGGCAGGAACTATGGCTCATGTAACAAGCCACATTCCTCATTCTTGATACATCCATGGCAAAATCCAAAGGAGGGATTGATGGATACACAGGGCGAACATAGTCAGAGAATATCAGTGATAAATCACCCCATTCAGCCCATCTATCAGGAAATCGACTTGGGTACACCAAACTATCACCATTCATCGTGAAAATCTGGGCTTGCTCGTGTGTTAGAACAATCCCTGTGAATTCACAAATAAAAGAGCCTGCCTGGATCAAGTCCAGCGACCTCGCTCCCCAACCAGTCTCCCGGGACCTAAATACTTCAAGTCGATGCCTTAGCCCCTTTTGGCTAACACGATTCCTGCAAGTAGGAGGGCATTGACAATGGGGACCACATTCAAAAATCAAGGATTTCCCTTGCACCAATATCCCATTCAGATCATATGCAAACTCACCTCCATTTTTATTTGCACAAGAGCAAATATCTGAACACCCGCCAACACAATCACAGCCAATCCCCTTTGCGCCATGATCATACACATGTAGAGGGAATCGCGTGCTGGTTAGATACTCATAGTAAAGCGGCTCATGATCCTCATCAATGTCATTAAAAAGAAACACAGGCACATTTTCCTTTTTACTCGACAAATCAAGTGAAACATAACCCTTTGGCCAAGCGTCCAACTGCAGAGTCCTAAGACTCTCCGCAAACTTCAACACAACACTTCCCATTCGTCCCTGATTTTCCAACCTAACAAGCTTGAACTTATAAACCCCAAAACCCGACTTCCCCACATCAAACCAAGTATCAGTTACCCGATACAAGCCATCATAAACATAAACTTTACCATGAGTACTACCTTCATATTTAAGACCTCGAACAACTCTCACCTCAATGCCATAATGCATACTCCTCTCCAAGGCCAAGTTACCGCATTCCAATTTCTGATGCACAACCTGCCTGCTATGTTTATCCTGCCCTCCATGCCCAGTGTAAATTATCACGTCCCCAGCATCCTCATCATCTTCATAACCCCCTGATACAACAATGCTTGTGGCAACAGGTTCACCATTTGAGCTCTGACTCGCAGGGACATAATCAATCCCGGCCTGTGCCTGGCCGTGCAAGCCAACCACACACAGTTCCATCCTGAAAAAGAAAACATCCCCAATGGAAACTCCGGGAATACCACCCACAATCCTCTTTTCTCGATATAACCAAAGACCTTGTTTCTTCATAAGCTGTGCTACCTTCAAATCCACTCTTAACCGTCTCTGAGGGGTCAAAGAATTACGGCCTTTCTCAATCTGTGCAACCAAGAAGGCACGCAGAGAGTCAAATAGCAACCGGGTCCGACGAATTCTGCCCCGAAAACAACGATAGTCCTCGGGTCTAAGATCCGTAACCCGGACGAGCTCTGCCGACCGCTGGTCATGTTTCCGGCCAACACGCGGCAATATAACTGCATTAGCAACCTGGGCTTCAGGATTGTTGTACGGAACTATAGCACCCAAATTTGGGTCTACGTCAGGAAGCATAGCTACCTCACCGTTCTTCTGGAGTCTTTGGGCGAAGGTGGTGCGAAACAACTCCGAAATGCGGTTGAATTCCGACGAGACGTCGAGCTCTGACGGTGGAGGAACAGAGGGGATTTTGTGGTCTGTAGGGGTTAGAAATGGTGGGTGTTCATCAATGGGTTCCATTTTGGGGGTGATTTTTTTTGGGATGTCGGTAGATGAAGAATTGGGTTCAGTGTACAGATTCAGGTCGAAACAGGGTACAATCGAATCCATTTTCTGCAACTATTCTCGGGATTTTGTTAGGAAAGAAATCCGAGAGAATTCAGCAGTCGTTTTGCAGTCGAAGGTTCTGCTGCTGAGAGATTTTCGAATTGGGAGAAATCGAAATGGCGAAACACAATTGGTGTGTTAGAAAGCTTTGCGCTTTCTTATAAATGCTTACAAGTATTCCGTATAGAAGGATTAGGTTACAACTTTGATCAACTTAGAGGAAATACATGGAAATTGTTAATTGTAAACTTATTTACCAAAAGTCATCTATACCCTCGTTATGAAAACGAATTGAGAGGGAAAAAAAACAAAAAGAAAAAATTCAAACAATATCTAACAGTCAAATCAAGTCGAAGTCCACATTCTAATAGTTCGATGACCTTTGACCATTAAAAAATAAAAAATTTAATTCTTTATACCAAAAGTCATTTATACCCTCATTGTAAAAAACAAATTGAGGGGGAAAAAAAGAAGAAGAAGAAGAAATTCACACAATTTCTAACAGTCCAATCAAGTCGAAGTCGCCACTCTCACAATTCGACCACCACACAACCCAGTCATCGGCGACATTATTTTCAATAAGATTATTATTATTATAATAATAAGTTTCAAAAATCTATGGATTTTATGGATGTTTATTTGTGGATTTTATAATAATTATTCGTCGTGGATTAGGTAAATTATTGAGAGTAATAGTGAAATAAGCGTTGAATTTTAAAAAAAAAAAAGAAAAAAGGAAAAAGCTTGTTCTCTTTAGAAATGACAATTTTTTGATGAGAAGAAGCAGCCAAGCGACCAGTAACAGTCACCCTATTGTGGATTCGATTGTTAATAGTCAGGTCTCGATTGTTAACAATCTGGTGGGCTGATTGTAGGCTAAGAATTTATTTTGAAATTTTATATTAAGAAATTTAATTCTTTTTTAAAATTAAATAAAGAATTTTAAATTGAATATTACCAAATTAAAAATCCTTTCTTTTTTTTCCAATTTAAAATTCTTTTTAATTAAATATTTGTTTAAGCAAACCTTTATTTTTTTCAATATTAATTAAATAATATTTATATTCTTTATATCATTTTTATAATTTACTTTTGTTTATATATGTATATATTTTATAAATTAAGAATTTTTAATTCTTTTTTAATTAAATAAAGAATTTTAAATTGAAAATTACCAAATTATATATAGTAATTCATAACTATTTTCATTTTCATTTTATTATGTCTTTGTTTTCAAATTGGTTTAGGCGATCTAGTAGTAGATCTGAAAATATTTTAAACACTATTCGTGATGAAGAAGAAATAGATCAAAATAATGCATTTACATTAGAAGCATTCAATTCTCATGAACTCCAAATTGCAAAAATTGAAAAAATAAAAATAAAAAAATTGCATAAGTGGATTATTCGAAATGTAGATGAAAGTTCCATCTATGAAATATGAAAGTTTGATTTTTATCAAGATTATTGTGACGCCCCGAACTTAAGTTTCGAGTGTCACGTACTAAACATAATAGCTTCTGCCTTTGGTACATGTAAATACTCTTAAATAGAAGTATTACATGTTAGAAACTTATTTTCAACTTGGTAAAATGTCTCTCATAAATTTTAATGGCCCGCAGAAGCGCATGTCGACAAGAAATTATACTTTACATATACGGACTCTACACTGTCACGGTTAGTTGGAACAGCAAGTTCGACTGTTCTTATAAAATTCATCCCAACTCTGTTTTCTATGAAATTTACGACATTAGAAAGACATTTTCAAGTAGTTTTCTAAGTTAAAATATAAAAAATTTCCAAGATCATATAATATCGGCGCTTTACTGAAAACAATGAGGTATTGCACAGAAATTTCAGATTTGACCCTTCAACGTTTAAAAATTCATATCTCAGGCTACAGATATCCAAATTGAGTGATTCTTATGCCCATATTGAGTGATTCTTATGCCCATATTAAGAAAACTCAATGAGGAATGCAGTAATATTTTCAAAGTCTCAAATGGACGTTTATGGAGTCAAAAATAACGTGTTGAAATTGACCCAAAAACTGTCCCGTTTCTGCCTTTTCACTTGCAAGGAGAAGTTTTTAAAAAAAAGGTCTCTTAACACAACATAGAAGATATAATTGCATAATTTACTTCCAATACCATATTACATCATGTCTCATACATATTTTTATACAATACCATAAGAAAACATATGGAAAGCAGTCAAACAAAACATGCAAAAACAAAACTTTGATGCAAAACAACATTGTCCCTAACCCATCATCGATTATGCCGACTGACTTCCACCAACTCCGCAATTATGAATCTGAGAATTTAGTATAGAACACTATGAGTATAAAGAATACTCAATAAGATACCATGCTTGGATTTTAACATGTTAATACTACACAAAAGAATGCAATCAAACACATACTTGCACATTCCGGCTTGTCGGTGCCCTTCGGACTTGTCCTAAAACATAAATAGATATCTAACTTTGTGGACTTGTCCACCACATTTATATTATGGTTTTTTATGCATAGTTTAAGCATAAATATTACCATGAAATCATACAACTTAAGTATAGAAAATATCTTACAATAAAACTTGAAGAAATCTTGGTTGAAAATGAATTGAGAAATGCTAGGCTGGTCCTCTTCTTCCCTCACGTTTTCTTCCCTTTTTTAAACAGGTGATAAGTTGTTTTTCATGCAAGGAAAATAAAGGGCAGCAACACATCTATTTATAGGTGAGAAAAATGATAAATTTTGGGTGACTTTTCATGAAATTCAACATGTGTAGGCTGCATGGTTTCATTTTCTTAAATTTAAAACACCTAATGCATTAGTTAGTCACCTCATGCTTAAATTTAAAACACCTCATGCATTAGTTAGTCACCTCATGCTTAAATTTAAAACACCTCATGCATATATGTTTCATCAATTTTCGGCCAAGTTGGAGAAATAATGTTTAACTTTAGTAATTAGGTGTAAAATGGACATTTATCCCAAACCCCTAATTAACAAATTATTTGGAAAAACTTTTAATAAATCAACCAATGCAAAATTTGGCAACCATAAATAATATTTTGGTCATACTAAATTTTGAAAAGTTAAATTGCTATTCTAAAAATTAAATGAGCACAAAATTCGGAATATTACAATTATGTTATGAAAACTCTTGAGCAAACAATTGCTATTACGCATCAATCTGCTCAGATAAATCTTTTTTCAAAA